ACGCACTGTTACGGGCTTACAAACGCCCGCCTTCCGCAACCGCGCTGCCAGAAGCGCAATCGGAGACGCGATCTGGGCCCAATAAACGCTCCAGATTGCGTTGGGCAACGCATCCGTGCAGGGCGGAGAGTACGCTTAAGCGTCGGCTTAAACCACCTTTAATAAGCAAATGTAACTGCCGTGCGCGTGGAATTACCCGTCTTTTTTCACTATTTCCCTGTGCCCCATCACCCGCCAATTCCCATATCCTTTTTGGCTTTTCTTCTGCTTTTTAGCCGATCGACTTCTTAGCGGCGGCCCTTCGCACTAACGAAAAGTCAACCTGAAATCAACAGAACTCGCTCGCGCACGGCAGCCTCTTAAACCGTGGTCTCATCCTGTTTTATACATTTAAGAATTTGCCTAAAATAGTTTTAATTAAAACAATTCAGTTAAATTTATCACCTGAATATCACCTGTGAAATTACATCAAATTGAATTTTTAATAAATCCTCTATGAAAAAATTTGAAATTGAACAAAAAAGTGGCCCGCTCGACAGTCGGCATCCCCTTACTTCCCCTCAAGTCCTTAGCGACTTGAACAAGCCTGTTTCATTTTGTGAACAATCGTTCTGCTTCGTCTTCTGCTTGTTTCATTTCGCGCACGTGTTCATGTCTTGGCGACTCCTGCATGGGCAGAAATGGTTGGAGGTGCTGCTGGAGTGATTCGATCTGCCTTCTGTGGAAAATATTGGCTTGTTCCTCTCCGTACACTTCGGAGTCATGTTGTTTTTGTTTTGAAGTTATTGTATCATTAATTCTATATTGGTCTGCGTTCCAAGCCGCTATCTCCGCACGTTGTACAGTCGCTCTGACGAAGGGCCCGAGGTTGGCTACGTATGTCTTAGATCCTCGCAAGGGTTAAAACAAGTCAGGACAGGAGTGCATCTCAACTGAGCCTGTGCGGCCAAATTAATGGCGACGTGGTTTGAACGCACTTGGAGACCTGCCAGGGTTTTAACGACACGGGGGCAAATGTGGCATTAGCCTGCCAACCATTTCAGTAAGGTTTCACTCTTGCTTACTAAAGTGGCATTGGAAATACTAAGTAAATGGCAATGGTCAATGAACATCTCGCAATAAAATCTTCAACACGGGCCTGCAGCGACACCTCGTCGAAAGAGAAGGACGAAGTGAACTTTTGCTGCTCGAAAAATCAAAAAAAAAAAAAAAAAAATGAGGTATGTCGTGTCTAAGTGCAAGGTTTCGATTTACCACAACACGAAGTCTGGGTTAACGAAGGAAGCAAGCCGCATATACAGATAAAGGAAAGAACCCGAAATGACCAAAATCCGACTAGACAAAAATCGTTAGTTACGTTGGTAGGCAGAAAGTTTTGGTAGTAAAACTTTGCTTCACGTAAATGGAACATATGGGCTATAAAGGTCTAGTAGTCCTAATGTTCAAAAGATAGCACTTTAAACTTTATGAAAATCTTCTACAAGGTTGTTAGTTATTATGCCAAAAATAACACTACTTTTTTTATTTCAAAAACGATAGAAGAAACGCATATAATACTTAAATATGTGATCTAGCAACTGACGCACTGATTTATGGAGAGAGCACTTCTCAAAGCTTCTGAACGATAGTGAAAATTAAACCCCAGGGAGAGACTCTCCATTGTCCAAATTGTGAAGATTTTTGAATGACAAAAAAATACTCAAGATAAAAAGATTGACACACCACTTTTTTGCTGGTTTGAAAGCAGCCTTCGACAACATGAAAATAAACTGATTCTGCGCTGTTATGTCTGAATTTTATATCTCTGGCAAACTCATACTGCTATGTATACTAAAAGATTTGGATTCAACAAAATTTATTTATTTTTTAATTTTGATTTTCTTTGGCATTCAATCGTCAAAATATTAAATTTTGAAAAAATTATGTTAAAACTTATGAATAGAAATGATATTCATGATTTACATCTAATTTTCTATTTACACTTGTTTTTGGGAGCGCATCTTTAGCGAAAAAAAAAATTAGGTTCATTAATTGTACAATATTTTATAAATACGATGAAATTCTGATAAAAATAAACTAACAACTGAAAAAAAATATAACTCGAGTTCGATTAATGGTGCTATACTGAACTCTTTTAATTAGTGTGCTTTGGCTATTAGTCAGAAGAGTTTGGGCTTTCTTCGATATACATTGTAAGCAGTTATGTGATATTACGGTACTTACTTTCATGAGCTTGACTGGAAATGAAAGTTTTTATAAGCGTGTCGGTCATTTGTGTATACAAGCTTAAAGCATATCGTAGGCTTTGCAGTTCTGGTGACTTCTCGAGGAATGTCTTCTTCAGTCCGTTACCGGCAGCATGGAAGTATTGCTTTATGGTATCTAATGCGACATCTAGTACAGCACATTGTTTCGGTGATAAATTCTTCTCCACTTCCTTTGAAATATCCATTACACCGCTAAGAGCACTCTTGACGTCTTGCTTGCCAGTCATGTGACTTTTGAATAGTCTACCCATATCTTCGATTTTAGCATTCGATGCAAGATTTTTTGCATTATCGGTTATATGTTTAAACATCATCTTTTGTTAAATAAAACATAAAATGAAAGAGAAAATATTTAAGGTAAAAATAATTGTAAACATAAAAATCTTATTTGCTTGAAATGATAGCTCACAGTCTTATCAGTCATTGGAGGTAATACGATAGTCTTCTCTAGGATACGCATAACAATTTTCCACAATTCCTTGAGCAATCTTTTGAGTACTGTCTTTTCACAAGATTGCGCATAAAGAGTTAGCGAACCATCCAAGAGGTCCATTAGTGGTCGGAGAACTTCATCAGCCTCTACAGCAACTGCATTACCTTGCGCAGTTTGGTTGAAATTAATATTGCTACCGCCTTTAACAGAAAGCAGCAGATCACCTAATTCTCGTACAGACTGCGTTATTCGGGGTTCAAGACTGTTGTAAACAAATTATACATATATACTTTTTTTTTAATTAAAAATAATAATGGATTGTGCACATTATCAAGTAAAATTCTGATTAAACTACTTTAAGGAGATATTGTGATATATCTTTAGTTTATAGCAATATACCATCAATTATTTAGTAATGTGGTATTTAATATTTTGCAGAGAAAACTTGATCAGATATAAAAAATAAGTTCAGAACGAAGAAACCGCAGAAATACAATGGCCCAAGTTACTAGAAGCGCCCAAATTTCCGAATATTAATGTAGGTGATTGAAACAAAAGTATAATGGTGTGTGCTGCTTAACTCCTCAGAGGAACAAGCACTTTCGTTCTCACAAAATTATGTAAAGATTGAACCCTTTCTGTGAAAAATTTTACCTAAAAGCAAATTGAGAAGCCAAGTCATCCAGTGCGGAGTTTAGGTTCTGCTGCAATTCTTTCAGTATATTCGCTGCGTCTTCCTCCAGCTTATCACCACCCATTGATTCGAACATTTTCTCCAATTGAACTCTCAATTGCTGTATGTTGTTCATAAGTATACACGCCTATTAAAAATATGTACAAATAATAACCATTATGCAAACAAATTTTAGAATTGAAATATTTGGAAATTATTTAACATACGACTCTTTCGTCCTTCATATGCTCAGGAAATTCACGTTTTACAATATCAGCATAGGCAATCAGTACTTTAACGATAGTTTTAGCAAAACGCCTCATGTAACGTTTCCAGATTTCTGGATCCGGACACTCGAGTTTGCTAACAACATCGAAACACTGCGTTAGTTGGGTAAAGACATCTACAACTGAGTTGGAAAATAAGGCATGTTCGCTACTCTTTTGAAACTGTAAATAAAACATGACAAATAAGATAAAAAATACATATTAAGCCAATTGTATTAACTATCCATTCTCATCTTTCATTAGTACCCCATCTTTTTTATCACGGTTGAATGCGCCATGCAAATATTCTAAAGACACATCGTCGTTCTCATTTAACCATTGCATAACGAATGGCTCGAACCAGGCTGGATATTCGGGCACAGCACCCTTGTATGGCGGCACCTCCTTCACGTAATTACTGTAGAGCCATTTCACACGAAAATGAAGGTTCATATATGCTGACGATTTGCAGAGACGATGTTGCTCGTGTTCTTCTAATGCATATTTCATATCAACAGCGAATAGACTCCACATCGTCGCTGCTGACAGCTAAAAATAATAAAGCACACACTAGCTAAGTAATATACCATGTACATACATATAAAGGGTGATTTTTTAGCTATTATCTTCTTGGAAACACTGGTTTAACCAGCTGACACACGTTTCATGTTTTGCTTCACAGTAAAACATCTTGAATTTGGTCTATAATTTAACCATGACAACCCGCTTAAGGTGACCAATTGGAGAATAACATTGAGGTATTTATTCGTGAGATACCGGCTGAAATGTTGGAAAGAGTATGCCAAAATTGGACTAAGCGGATGGATCATTCGAGTCGCACTCACGGCCAACTTTTGCATGAAATAATATTCAAACATTAAATTACATGGACCGTACTATCGACTCAAATAAGGATTTTATGCATTTTTCTGAATTTTGTGTGTTTTTTTTTTATTAAATTACCTAAAGCTCTTAAAAATTACGCTTTATATATTCATCTAAGCAGTACAGGATATTGATCAAAGCAAAATTAACCCCACCACTGAAATGTTTAAATAAAACTTTCGATTCGAGAGTCTACGGTCGTAATCCCAAAAAAAGGTGAAGCTTAACACTAGTCACTTTACCTGACGGTCGTAATCCCAAAAAAAGGTGAAGCTTAACACTAGTCACTTTACCTGTCATATAATCTGCCAAAAAGTGACAGAGCACAATTAGAAACTAATACCATGCCCTAATTAAGCGTCATCATTTACTTTTACTTTACTCACCATCTGGACGCCACCGCCATAAACACCCAGATAGTCAATGGCCTTAACCCAAACCGACACCGCGTAAACTGCCCTTGTAGCACTAGATTTGTCACATGCCTTTGACACCGTCAACCGTTCAGTGCTACTAACGGACATTGAGGAATCCTCATTACCGCCGGGGTTGCAAAGTTGGGTCATAGGCTACCTGAGTGGTCTACAATCGTCGGTAATATTCGAAAGTGAACTGCTACCTCCAATTTTTCTCACTTCTTCACTGAACGAAAACTGAAAATACAGAGGACAAAATCATCGGCTACCCTCTTTACCAGCTGGACGAAGGAGTACAGGTTTAAATTAGATGTGAAGGTCGATGACGAAAAAATTCCGACTGTAAACAACCCGAAGATATTGGGAGTCTCATTAATCAGCATGCACTCATTCACTCCGCATACGACCGCGATTGCCGCAAAACTACAAAGCCGAAACAAAATACTTAAAGCGCTAGCCGACAGCACAAGGAATCTTTGCTGGCAACTTACAAAGCAATTGACCGGCCGGTCGTAAAATATGCAGGACCGATCTGGGCGCCAGGGACGAACGAGACGCAAATGAAGAAGATACAGGCTTACCAGAACACCGCCTTCAGGACTGCGACAGGAAACCACCTGATGTCGCCGGAGCATCACTTGCATAATGTTTTGCTGTGCAACCTCCATGCACATCAGAAAGGGAGTACCCGACTTGAAAAGCACCATCCAGCAATACGTACAACAACCGCTGGACAGGACGATCTGGATACTGTAGCAGGTTAAGCTTCTACTTATCCAAACTCGACCCCAGCATATCCAACGTATGCCCTGTATGTGTAGGGTTTTCGCACAACAATAACCACCTCTTCACATGCCCCCTTAAACCGTCTCATCTAACCCCCTCTCTCTTTGGTCTAATCCCATCGAAACAGCACGTTTTCTGGACCTCCCACGAGATGATCTCAGCTACCTAGATTGATCAGACCTGTACCTAAGCGGGGTTCGCCAACCGCTACAATAACAACCTTTTCTTTTGCTCTATTCAAAACTATTTCAATGGTAAAACATTTAATGCGACCAGGATTGTTCTAAAAACCAAGAGTTTCGTTATTGTGGAATATTTAAATTAACTGTTGTTAGTAATTGTAAATTTTCTCCAAAAAGAACTGGTGCTGATTAAAACTAATGTATTGAGGTCATTTATAAGCAATTTCTTTTTATTTAAACCATTATATTATATAAGGAAAATTCGTCTCCGCTTGGCAGAGTCAGAGTTTAATTAAAACGAAATATCAAAGTTTTCACATACCAAAGTAAATATAAATTTCTTGATTTGTCCAATATATCCACACAGGAAACATACTGGTCCATTCATAAAAATGTAACTAAACCCTCTTCAGCATAGACCTACAAAAATTTGGAATTGTCAAGGACAGTTGATTTTGTTTCAAAAGGGCAAGATCTCGAGTGTACGTAAAATATGCAATTTTTACTTCCGATTATCTTGTTAATTGCTATGTATATATTATATATTATTTTCTCTCTATAATTGCGAAATTGCTTTCCAGCCGAGCTCCTCCTCTGATATGTTGGGGAATTATATATTCAAGCCGCACGGCTTGCTTCTTATGTGAAGACAGGGGAACTTAGAAATTAGGAAATTTTTTCCAAAATTTTTATGTTGGTCTGGCCTAGAACTCATCCCGATCTTAATGTTATTTTATGTAAAATTACCTGACCAATATTCAGTTCTTGTGGAAATTGATTCAGTACGGTGCCATAGCTGTTTTTATCCTCATCAATCACAGACACTATTAATGCTATTAGCTTATGCCAAAAGTCTACGTTATCCAACTTGGGGCCGTGGTCGTCAGAGTCACGCTTTGCTTCGTTTGGATCCACCTAAAATGCATGAATGCTTATGTAACTTACTTCTAAATTATAAAAAAAAGTTTAAAATAGGTGCAGAACTAATTCATCACCTGGAATTCCCTATTATAGAGTTCATAACAATTTTCGAAGAGGAATTGGTAGGTGGATCTAAGACAAGCCTTTACGCAATCCTTGACCACTGTACTCGCTCGTGGTGGACTAGATAGTTCTTGAACCTGTTATAAATAGTCAAAATCAACGAAAAAAGTAGATGAATTATATTAATACAAGAAATTATTATTCAGTGTTATCCATTTTGCGATTTCGCGAATAAATGTAAATAATATGTATTTGAAAATCTTCTTTCATAAAATTTATATTTATTTAAAGAGTTTGAACTTTGGCATTATACAGCCTTGGCCAAAAGTATTAGGCATCCCACTAATTACTGATTTTTTTGGTTTATCAAGTGAAGTAATGATGATTTATTAGTAAAACAATGAAAATGCAATAAATTAGTGATGGTAACATCAATATTTAATAGGTCCACCCTTCGATTTAATAATGGCAGCAATTCTCTTAGTCATGCTGCGTACAAGCTTTGCACATTCGTCTGCACTTATAGCCTACCACTCGTTAATTAAGGCATTCTATAATAGCCCACATGTACCCAATGGGAATAAGATCTGGAGACTGTGCAGGCCAATCTAACAAAACAATATTGTTATTTCTAAACCAACACATCGTAGTCGCTGATTTGTGACAACGGGTATTGTTTTGCTGAAATAGAATTAGTATCGCCGAAAATGCGCGTTGACGAAGACAAAAGAACAGATTCGAATACATTTATATACTTTTGACTGTCCAAGCGACCCTGGCAAACAAACATTACGCCGACACCATCAGCAGCCATGCAGCCCCAGATCATAATGCAGCCTCCTCCATGCTTAACAGTGAGTACCACGTAACCTGGATGTTATTTTTTCCCAACCCGTCGCCTCACGAACGTCGCACCAGGTGTTCCAAATATCTGTAGAAAATAAAAAATTATGTTTTCATAAGATTTGTTTTATGTCTTCGAAATTGCTCTGTGGAAAGAAGCTATGGCTCTTAATACTTTAAGACGATCTTAACTAAGCTTACCTCGAAGCTTGATTCATCAGACCACAGAACATTAGACCAATCTTCTTCCGTGAAATGTTGGCATCGGCGAGCCTATTCCAAATGATTTTTCCTTTTCTTTTCTGAGAACCACGGCTTCTTTCGGGCTTTACATCCATTTAAACCCGCTTCCAGAAGTCTTCTTTTAGCTGTTCGAGCACTAACTGGCTTACTAAAATCATTCGAAACGGCAGCTGCAAGGGCAGACGAAGATTTTTTACTATTCGGTCTTCTCGTTTGTTGGTTATACGCTTTCTTCCACTTTTTGATTTATTATTGTGGGATTACGTCTCCACAAATCGCCTGATAGCACATTGGACCGCGCACCGCGAACATCCTACCAAATTGGCTATCTTACCTTTTTCACTTAGAACTTGAATTCTAACTTTATCATCGTAACTAATCTCATTTTTTTAAGCATTTCGGTAAATGTGAACTGTTTTTATAAGATTGGTGACTCTTCACTAAATGTAATTTACACTTTCACCTTCAAATTTTAAATGCGAAAGGGTTTCTTAAAAATTACAATTTTTAGGTTTAGCTTACCCAGAGTGCTATGAATTTTAATATTACACAATATATTTGTTTAATCAACTATTGAAAACCTATGTAAGACATTTACAAAAAGAAGTGGTAATTTTAATAGTCACTTTTGAGAATACTTGTATGTTAGCGGGGTGCCTAATACTTTTGGCCAAGGCTGTATGTGAATTATTGTCTAACTCAAATGACCCCCTCGCGAATTTTTGTAATCCTCGATCCGTTTGATCCGTATTTTGGAACATATTGGGCGTTATCTCCGCCATTACTTGACGAATGTTAATGTTGGCTTTCAAGTGGTTAGGATTAAAATTCTTATTACCACTAACAAGGAATTTCGCGTAAATTCAACTAAATGTGACAGATGGCAAAATACAGTTCTGTACTTTGGAAACCACGAAATGGATAACTCTATACTTTACCTTCATGCGAAAAAATGTTATACTGGTCAACAGGTCCACAGTCGACTTAAGATCCATTAGCTTTTCTTGGCTTGACGCCGGGAAGTTATTGCGGTACATGGAGAGGTCAATGCGTAGTGAATTGTGTAGCTGGTCCAATAATTTAACGAACTTTTCTTTCTATATGTAGTATCAAAATACATATTTATTTTTATTTATTTTATAAAATATTTATTTGGATGCATAATTTGATCAAACGTTATAATAGGCTCGGTTCAAAATGGGGTTTCAGACTGGTGACTCTTTATCGTACGACTTGTACAACTTGATGCTGGGGTAAAAAATAGGAGCTGCTATATAGACTGCCTCTCGGCAGGGAATGTCAACCCTTCCCATGTATTTCTGACATGAAATAAAACCTCCTCATAAAAAACCGTCAGCCCTTCGGAAGCAGCTTCGGAGGCAGCTTAGTATAAGGTAAGTATAGGTCCTTCTACTTGTTGAAAAGAAACATCAAGACGCAAAACCACAAATTGGAGAAGGAGTTCCACCGAAAAATCGCTTGAGCGGTTACAAAGCGCCAATTATATATATATAGATATATAGATATATATATATATATATATATATATATATAGACAAGGTACACTGTTTTACAGCAGTGAGCAACTGCAAGCTTAAGAGCCGCGCTGGTAGGTTTGCCTTCTCCGCGCTTGAAAAAGAAGCGAAGAAAATGGGTCTGATAGTACACGAGGGCAAGATGATACGCCAGGTTCTTCTATTTAAAAGATTTGTGTTTCATGAGATTGAAGTAGAGCAACTAAAGGTAAGAATTTCCGCTTAAGTATCGTTGGTGGTGTAAAAGTATCAGCAGGGGCAGCAATTAATTAATTTCAAATTCATATCAATTTGACAAATTTTGAAGTTTTTTAATTTTTATTAAGTAAACTACGAGGCCTTGTTGTTTGTATTAATTGAATATTTATTATACAACAAGGAAAAATGTTAGAAGTGACAGCTGCTTCGGAGATCACCACATCTCCTCATCAGACAGTTTTTTGTCAAGAGCAGTCACACATTTCATGAAAATATCTACGGAAATTGAATTTCAATTTCATAATATAATATCAAAAAATTTCTTTCATAATACAGTCCTTTGAAGCAATTTCAAGAAATATATAAATTTCCACTGCAGCACAAGTAACTAGAAATTTAATATCTGAATTCAAATTGCAGGTAAATGAGTGCATCCCACACTATTTCTGCAATCAAAATTTAGTTTTGGGGTGGGTACACGACGAAAGTTAGTTTTTTTTTACAGCAGGCGCGAGCACAGCATAATTTTTCGAGAGGTGGCAAGTTTGTTTTGCTATTTCAGCATTGAGCTGATTCTACTGTTACCAAGTAAAGATCACACCTCGGGTACACCCCAAAAACATATTTTGTTTATTTTGTGTGTATAAAACTTTTCTTTGGTGATTGATTATTGTTGTCGTGCAATTTTCGTTTGCCTTGGTCAGCGTCGATCATTTCACTTAATTTGTTTTGTTTTTATTTTTACTTTTTGGCTAAAGTTTTTGTTATTTTACGTAGCTAGCATCCCACGCCAACTCCACTAAGCCGGCCGAGCGCTTGATTAGAGTTCTTGACATTTCTTTTTGTACGGTATGGTGGGAATGGTATGGTAGGCTTTAACCAACAACCACTGTTGGGGCATGTACAGCAAAAGTGAAGGCGACGAGTTGGCGCCGAACGTGGAGCCCAATATTTAAAGATAAATATATTTAAAAAAAAGAGGTCGTGTTTGTTATGTGTCTAAATTATAGTTGGTTGTTGTTGTAAGAATTGTTAATATGTTTTCCTTTCTATTAAGAGGGATATTTAAAGTATATTCAAATCCGATGATATTGACATTATTGACCTCAAAAACCGCACCGTTAGTTCTGCTTTGTCCAGATTGGATAAGGAAGCGAAAGGTATAGGTCTGGTACAGACCAAGACGAAATATCTCCTGTCATCACACAAACAGTAATCTCGTTCGCGACTCGGCTCCCACGTCACTGTTTACAGTTGTAACCAGTTCCCACACCAACAACAATGTTTGCCTGGAAATCCAACGCCAAACGAAAATAAAACTCTACAAGTCCCTCTTCGTTCCCGTCCTTCTAATTGGTGTGGAAGTATGGACGATGACAACATCTGGCGAGACGGTGTTAGGAATTTTCGAGAGAAAAACTTTGAGTAAGATTTATGGTCTTTTACGAATTGGAAATGGCGAACTGCCCCACCTGTAATGATGAGCTTCTTGAAATATACGGCGACATTCACATAGTTCAGCGAACAGCCGCTTCGTAAGCTTGATCATGTGGTCCGGATTGATAAGAATACTCCAGCTTTAGAAGTTTTTGATGCAGTACCCGCCAGTGAAAGCAGAGGAAAAAGAAGACCTCTACTCCGTTGCAAAGACCAGGAAGAGAATGCTGTACATGGTATCTCAAATTAGCACCAAACAGCGAAAAGAGAGGAATGAATCGCGCGATGTTTTAAGTTCGGCTGAAATCTCGTAAACGGTGTCTACGCCAGTAAAGTAAGTAAGTAATATTTAAGGTAAGCATTTTATTGGGGATCAAACCCAGGACATCCTGTTGAAAAGGAATTTGTCGAGTCCGTTCTGTTTTACAAATTAGCAGTTTTTTTGTTGTTGCTTAATATTGATGTGTTTATATTGTATTTACAGGTAAAGGGAATAGTTCGTCAAGTATGTGGAGACTGGGCCAGAAGTAACCGGTATCGTTCTCGTCAAATCAAAGTGTGAGTTTTAAAAGTTTCCTTAAAGATTATTGCTATTAATTTTTATTCGGATTGTCTTTTTTGTATTTGCATTTACATTTCTTTATTAATTGTGATGTTGGCGTAATATATTATTATTGTTTATTGCTATTTTAATATTTAATTTTTGTTTAGGCTTTTTTCTGGTTTTTAGGGTGTCAGGGTCTTATTGCTTTGCCAGTAGAAAGCAACACATATAGCACATTAGTTTAAAAGTTATTTTTGGAGTTCTTTTTATACATTACTTAAACTTATATTAGTTTTTATTTTACATAATTTAAATTTATATTTATCTTTTTCTGATTTAAGCTTTTTTCTCTTTGACTATTTTTTCTCCTTTTGTCGATTTTTGTTTTAATTACTTTTGGTTTTATTATTTTATTATAGAAGTCAATCGCTTAACGCGTGGCGAGCTCGCGTACGGGATGGAGGCACGCAGCCTTCCAGTCGATACGGTTGAGGTCATTTGTGAGGCGCTTAGAGCGACGCGGTTAATCGAACGAAGAGGTTCACCTAGTCTCCACTAAACTAAGACTACCCCTTCAACTTCGACGATGATAAGACGATGGTCAAGACGGAACTGAAGAGGATTAAAAAATTGACGGTATTGGTTACGGCTGGAGGCAAGTCATCGCATGGAACGAAAACGGAGTAAATTTGTTCGGACGCGAAAGTACCTCCGCTCGTAGAAAAACGACGCGTGATTAACGAGACAGTCCAGTCTCAGAATCCGGTGAACTTGTAGAAGAGGAACGTTCGGGAGGAGTTAGAAAGAGAGTTAAAGCTAGAGTTTTTCCCCAACTACGACGATATCTTCCTAGACGAGATGGTGAGAAGGACTCAAGGAGCAAATGAGTCCATGGGTGTATATTTAACGGCACTGAAAATTATGTTTGGCAGGATACAGGATCCTCTACCTGACAAAAGGATGTTAGGTTTGATTATGGCGAATCTTCTTTCGTTTTATTGATGTCGTCGGTGGATGCATTTATCCTTCATCCGAGTCACAAGGCCAAATATGTGTTGTTGTTGGAACTTGACCTGGCTTATGTCTGTTCCGGTGTTTCAGATAGTTTTGGGACGGAATCGAATAACCCGACGACGTACGGCTACCGGTGGTGGTAGAAACCACAACCCCTTCAGTTAAGCACCCGTAAGGACTACCAGGTGGGACGACAACGTAGGGAATTCTCGGCCACGTGAAAGGTTCGTAGGTCGAAGAACAGATCGGCAAATAGAAGATATACCTTTGGGACAGCAGGACATACGTTTCATTTAGGCAAGATAGTAAATATGCTAACTCCTACCTGGCAAACGTAGTATGCCGATTATTGTTGATGTTAGTATTTCCGTCCCATGGTAGGCAAGGACAATTCGGTTTGGTTGGAAAAAGCTTTCATCGTATCCAACATGAAGAGTTCAAGGAAGCAACCTTTATAAGTTTGTTAAGTCGAGATTTTTTTCTGTTTGCGGTGATTCGCTAGAGTGAGACAGAGTTATAGCGCGTGATGGTAGTAATGAAGTTTTAAAACAGTATCATGGCAGTGCGTTGGCAGGCCATATAGGCGTGCCAAGGATAAAGTCGGACGTTACAAAATATGTGAGAGCATGGAAAATTATTCAGAAGGCGAAACGTGGATTTCGCAGCCAGTTGGAGATATGATGGAGAGGACTAAGGCAGTCGAGCCTTCAGAAATGATTTGTGTGGATCTAGTACGACTTTAGTGAAGTCGTCACAAGGCTACCAGTATATTTTAACAGTTGTGGACTTCTTCTACAAATTCCTATAATTTCTGTTGTTTGGAGTTTCTCGGTCGGTTGTGTATGACAATGGACCCAATTTAGGAGTCGAGAGCTTTGGGGCCTCTGTGGTGGCTATGGTACATGCCTGGAAAGTTAGTTTGGGGAAGGAGTTTTATGCTGTCACATGCAGCGAATTTTATGCGGCGAAATCAGCTCCAAAATATATAGGGTCGTTTTTTATTAGGAAGATAGCCTCGCAGTGGACATAGACACCAGCAGATGATTAAGACAAATGCCAAGAGAAATGGAATGTTAAGGAGTTGGGGCTATATAGGGATTAATAAGTTGCGATAGGAGATTTCCTTTCCTTTATTGAAAGGAAGATTCCTTACTTTCGTTTGAGGAGGGGTGAAAATTTTGAGTACAGGCCGCAACAAAAACTCTTTTGCTGTTTGTATGTTCATTTCCTTTGTTTTTTCTAACCTCCCTTTCAATCCAAGCGTTGGCAGCGACATCTGTCGACAAATATATATAAATGGCACTTTGTTACCGATAGAGCGATTTTCGGCCAAGCTCCACCTTGATTTGTGTTTTGCGTCTTGATGTTTTTCCAACAAATGGGTTGGCCTACAGTGTATACTAAGCCGTCTACGAACGGCTTATTGTCTTTTTTTTAAGGAGCTTTATTTCATGTCAGAATTACACTCAGATGGGTTGACATTCCCTGCCGGGAGGCAACCGCTATTAGGAAATTTAACTTCATTTCGTATTTAAATTAATGTTCTTGAATGTTTTGATGTTGGTGGCTTCGGAATTTGAGCCCGAGCCTTCTGAATGGCAGTACGTCTTGCATACCACTCGACCACTGAGGCCGCCGGCTAATAGTTATGTAAATTAAAGCCATGAATTGTTGGCACTCTTATATTCGGTGTGTGCCTACCCAGTAGTATAGGTCTCCAAAAGGAGGTGTTCATACAAAACAGTTCGTACACTAACAAATATTAGGGAAACGGAATGCAATGCGCGGATATTCCGTAAAAAGAGGTGTCGCCTTTCCCTTTTATGCGCCGAGGGGAAAATTTTCGCTGTATACTTGGTGTGCCATGCTGGTGTGCGCTATACAACCCGGTCGCTTTGGGTAATAGTGCGGCGCCAAATGATTGGACACTAATAAACACTCGCTAGAGATTTCTGAATCCCAGGGCATAGATCCTGGCCTGGTTGATAGGTGTGTGCCAGATCAGATTCTCGCAATCTTAGAAAGTCGAAACACCTCTTTGCGCGGACTTGCGTATTAGTCGAAAAAAGTCAAGTAAATCGTGTAATGCCAGTGAAGACAAAGATAGTTGAAGTTTTTTATTTATGTTCTAGATAAGCGTGGCCAGGGAAGACCTTGAAGAATTGGTACAGTTGAAGCCCATAGTTTTACATTATTGTTTTCGGATTTCCGGCGGAACCTTTGTTTGACGGCACCAGTTTTGTATACATGCTGTTATATAATAATAAACTTAAGATATTGACTCAGATTCTGTAATGAGTGAATTACGTTAAAAAAATAGTGTTTGCAAAGTGATAAGTTCACATTAGCAAATGACAATACGTTTAACCAAATTTAGTTATGGAAAACATTTTTTGATATTTTTATTAAAACTTTCTATCCTTACTGCTCAAAGGAATTAAAAGTTACGCGAAATTCGCTAGGTTTGACGGCACCTTATTTAAGAGCAAAAAATTACATTTTTTTATTGACACGCAAAAAACAGAAGGGGCCAGAATATGACTAAGAAATGTTCACCGAGCAGACAAAATAGCTTGAAGAAACAAAATTAATAGATAAAAATAGTTATAGAAAAAATTTTAAATATTTAGAAATTTGTTTGCAATAAAAATATGAAAGAGACTAATGTTCCAAGTTGCTCTAATGAATTTTTGGCAGCTGCTCAGTTCTGATCGAATTTTAGCTGCTCTACTCTATTCTGCGTTTCAATACATTAAGAGAGAAAAGAATGAAAAAAAAATTAAGAAATCATGAAAATGATCGAGATATATACAAGTTTATAAAAAATAAGCCCTTTGTAACCACTGAAGCGATTTTCGACCGAGCTCTTGATGTTTTCCAAAAAATGGAGGGACTTAAAGTTTATTATAAGCCGGATCTTACTGAGGATTTATTGCAAATTTTTAAAATATTTTCACGTTTATCAAAAAAATTCTATCGTTTCAGTTGAAACATTTGGAAATACTAACGTAAAAGCAGTTATCAAAGTAGTTTATTTTTCGTTTTAATCTTAAACGAAAAGCTGTCGTTAATGTCTGCTGTTAAATCATAACAATTGATGTAACGACGAGTTTGTGCGGTCCCAACGTTAATGGTTTCTCTTCGTTTTGATAACATGCCATCGAAACGTTTTCATTTCGTTCAGTTCATTTTTCTTGTTAGTGAAACGAAATGTTTTTTATTATTACTAGATTTCCTTCAAAATAAAAGAAAATACTTACACGAATGACATAACTGTTTTCCAAGCTGCGAAATTTAATGCCTGTAGCTCAATTTAACCAATAAAGGTTTGAAGTTAGCCGCTTTTATTTATAATTTAGAGCCCTGCCAAGACTAATCAAGAAAATTATACAATAGACACCGTCGCAGCAAGAAGGGAGCAAGAATTCAACAACTATCCATCCAACGGGGTTTAAACACTTAGATCTTTTGGCGAGGACGGCAAAAAGTAGCACACACTAAGGTTAGGATGCAGGGATGACAGATCGTAATCAGACAGGTATGCTCACACTTCTGGACTGGTTACCAAGGAAAATAACAACAAGTGAAGCATCAGGACTCTGTGTAATAGGACAGATCTAATGATTTTTGCCATAGTCGTAGGGATGGAAAAGATGAAGAATCGGTTGAACACTACCTCTACCACTTTCTTGTTAATTAATTCTAGCTGAACCTCGTAGCTTTTATAAGGCATACCAAATAAATTTAGAAGATAATATGAGGGTTACAACGGTATCACAATTGTCCTACAGGCATTAGTCCGCTAGCCGCTGACCAACAGCCGCATCAAATCAACTCTCAACTCAATAGCCTATTTTCTTGAGTGAGATGTAGATGTGTATACATTCTCTACTTACGCCAAAATTACTTGCGGCAAAACGATCACTTGCGGATACTGCCGAAGACGCCGTCGTATGCGCATAATATGCATTTATGTTTGCTAGTAGCGTACTCATCACAGCCGGCACACCGGGACATAAATACTTAGTCGACAAACAATGAAAGTGTGTCATTGCCTGGTAAATATTTTCAATGCCATAGCGCATAGCGAATTCGTCAACGATCTCTTCCGGTATTTCGTCAAAATAAAGTTTCCAAGCATCATCTCCTTTTTGGTGGGGCAATTTTACCTACAATATAATAAAATAAATATTGAAATTCCAATAGCGAAATATTATGTGTTAAAATGTATGTGTGGCCTCTAGCTGCGTGAGTCCAAGCGATTCTTAACAATGGTCAGTAAATTTCAGAATAATGGTATAATATTTGCCCATATATATCTGAAGTGCGGCCATATATCTCCGAATTCAATTTAAAAAATTCCAGAGGCATTTTAAGGGCTACACTGAAGGCAGTATTGAACATTATGGGCATTGCTGAATGAAAACGATCCACGGCGCAAATATGAAGAACATCCAAAAAGTCTTCAACAGACTTACATTGAGGATTCACTTATCATATAAGAATAAAGAAAAAACTTACCATACAACTAAACATGACTGTTAAACGACCGTAACTAATGTTTTTTGTGTGCAAACACTTCTACCTAACCTAACTTAGAGAACGACTACTCTTGACTCTACTTTTGAAAATAAAAATGGGTAAAAGAAACAACCAATTTCAAATATTGGGTTGCCCAAAAAGTAATTGCGGATTTTTTAAAAGAAAGTAAATGCATTTTTAATAAAACTTTAATAAAAAAAAAAATAAGACTTTAATCAAATATATAATTGCCATTTGTTCGATAACCTTTTGCCATCTTCCCTAATGCGGTAGAAATGCATTCCATATGGTTTTTAAAAAGACTATTATAACCAAGTAAATTTAGAATTTCTTGAATACCAATTTTTAATTTTTTCCAAAGACTATGAAAGGTCGTATATAAGGGAGCATGGAGTTACGTTGTGCTTACTCACCATACCGCCGTTTTCTTCGCATAAGTAATGAAAGAGATTTTCATGCAGACATGTATACTGTACGTGGTAGGGAGCAACCTTTTCCTCTCCTTTAATCTCCACCGATATATGCAGACGTATTGCTCCTGACACCGCCGATTTGTCTGTACGTTTTTCTAAATTGTACCACACATCCATTTCGCCCGAAAGTGTGCGTACCTCGATGATAGTTTGGCCCAAAAAGTCATCTGATTCACGTGTCAACTTTTGACGGAGCTTCGATTTCAAATCATTGTCCTCGTCCCACACCCGCACCTTGATTCTATCTGATGAGTTATGGCATTCACTAAAATTTGTCAAACAATTTTTTTTCGAAAACGGAACGTAGAAGGCAAAAGACAGTATTGTCATTGGTGAATGGACCCGAGTTGACAAAGCGTTAAATGAGTATATGTATGATGCGTGGAATTTAATCAAGCGTGGATGGATAGAAAAGGAATATTTATAAAACAGATTTTATTAATATTTCATTTTAATGTAAAATATGAAAAAGCACATACATACACAAACATTTTTATAAAATTTAAGAACACCCAATGAAAATATATATATAATTTATATTCAAATAGCAACTGAGTTCATACAAATATTTTGTAATTTTATGCAAACATTTGGTGAAGAAAAAAGTTAGTAAAGTGCATACATGTAATTATAACTACAATAAATAATATTCATATTTTATATATACATAAATATATTAATTGTGGCATAAATAATTATCGATATTTGTGCGGTGGTGATAGCGTATTTTATAGCGTCTTATAATTAAAAGATACTGAAAGCCGTACAAATTACGGTGTCCATCGTTTACCAAGTTGGCTATTTTCAATTGGTATACTCAAAATCATTTGTTTATGACCTAGAAATAATTTGGAACAAATATAGTTTAATCCTGCCTGAACGACGATATTTTATTTTACATGTAATTAACAAGAAGAGTTTGCACTTATTATGCTCCTTAACTTACCAACAGTGCTCCAATTAAGAAAGAAAGAGGTTTAATCTAATCCTTAAAAAAAACGTAATGAAAAGAAATCTGAAGTTTTTAATGTTTTATAATATGATTTTGAACAAAATTTGATGAGGCTATGAGATGGTTCTATCGTGAAGCCAGAGGTTAAAGGAATATTCGTCTTGTGGGCTTCGAGTACAAACGTTATTAATTTCCAATCAGTATAGAATAGCGTTAAGTGCATTCCATCTGGCATCATAACGAAGGAAAAAATATAGTGGCAATCAGCGCTTCAAACCCTTGAAGTCCTCTAGTACGGACGGTATCTTTCCCAGCTAACCTATTCTTTGGAGTTAGGTGAGAGCCCGTTGTTTTATCATGGATAAAAGATCTACTGATCTGCATGAAGATTAATACAAAATCGAATACTCCCAGACATTGCTCTTAAGGTCATACACCGATGGGCTGACTTTAAGATACAATGTCCCGGCATAGAAACCCCGTGGCTCAACGGAGTTGAGTAAATAATTAAAGTTTGACAGTAAACTGGTGTGGAAACTCAAAGTAGAGCCCTATACGCATTTCAAAATATGTTAGGCTTCACATGAAGCCTATCGTCTGGCCTCGATGCTAGTCAAACCATCTTGCTTCTTTGTGATGGCAAAATAGGACGGACCCGTGACTGATGAGGTGAGTGTCGGAGCCTATTACCGTGAGGTAGAACTCGGATAAAACCATATGATTCAGAATACTGCTGCATTTTTCAGACGGACGTCTTCGTGGTTAAAAAGGCTATAGAGATAGCTAACAGCACAGGAAACCACATACAAAACCTTAATAGTTACGTCGATAGGTCCTGTGCGATCTTGTCGAGAACTCGTCTTTGATATCTAGTAGCTTTGCAGTTTAAAAAACCAGATTAAGTATTAAAATTAGATATCAACGTTCTCCTTAACTCGGCATATATCATTGGCGTCCAACATGACGACTACATTAGCTCGAGCTAAATTTAAGTTTTATCAGGCATTACAAAGGACTAACAGGGCTATGTATGGAGTGAAAATTTTCGAAGAGTCCCGAAAATCAAAAAACGCCAAAGTTGACATTAATATACTCTATATAAAGAAACAAAATCGATCGACACACATACTCCGAAAAACAATATGCTAACATGATGCAGACATAACCAAATTCAGATCAGAGATATTCCAAACTCAAATAATTGAAAATATCACGCGATTTCCGGCAAAGATTAAACTTAAGTTGCGGTAATTGTTTTCTTTGCTTTTTTTATCGTAAAATTAAAAAGTGTATTCCTATTTTGAAAAAAGCCTACCTAAAATATTTGTTTTTTCTTATTATACACGTTTTTTCTAATAATCCGTGTGAGAAATTAGAACAATAATTTCTTAACTGTATATTGATTACAATAAATTTTTTCACGATAGCTGCAACAGTCATGTGGAGAATGCTGCGTACCACTATTGGAAAGTAGTGAGTTCGAATTGCAATCTCCTTTCTACAAGGAATGCCATTACCTCCGTTAGGTATTGTCTTGACAGAAAAATGCATCAACGTTCTCCGCTCAACACTCAGGGGGAGAATTTTATGAGGTTTCATCATCAATGATGCGCACAATTTTTCACACTGCTAATGACAGATAAGCACAAAATAACGAATACCCGTAATTTGTTTTATTGCAGCTTTGGTGTATTTCATACATTTACAGGCCTATTCTGTCGAGGTAACAAAATTTACCTAGGTATTAAAATTTACTATCCAGAAAATTTTGTTACCATTTCGTATTCTGAGCTCACAGTTACCCTATAAATTTTGTTACCAGCGAAATAGCAGGTAACAAAAATATATGTTTGATTTTGTGTTATAAGTTTGAGAAAAAATATAAAAACCAAAATGGGTAGGCATATTTTAGGCCTGGAACTCTTTGCAGATGAAGAAAAAAGTGCAAAAAGCTTTATTTTACGAAGTTTTCGAGACTAAAAAATATCCCTTTAATTGTAAGATGACGTTTTCATTCAGCTTTTTTGTTGTCCAGGCATATTTTTCATAATTAGTTTCAAATATTTATGATTTAATAAACAAACAAATAAAACTTTTTAATTTTTTTGTGCACTGTCTTTTTTTTCGATGTGAATACTTTTTTTTACTTTATTAACTGGCAAATGTAATTTGACATGGACGAAAAAAGCAGTGCTGCCAAATTTTTTCAAACATTGTAACCAGTTCGCCAGAATACCAAATTCAATTTCGGGTGTTAAAGAAAAGTAACATAATTTACTTCACCGGTAACAGTGACAATAGGCCTGTTAGGGTATTTTACAACGAGATTTGCTGTAAAAAAAAATATCTGCAAATTCGTACGATATAACCCAAGCATAATGGGGTGCTAATTCAACAGCTACGTATTCAACATTCTCACTTTCAAGGACAGAGACGGAATATGTTGTAACTTTTGAGTCGGCTAAAAACCATGGTTTTTGAAAGCCAAAATAAATAATGTTGGTAAAATTATTTTATGATAGTCAGAACGCATAAAAATTGGTCATGTCTTCGAATTTCGACCCTCGTACTAAACTTATTGACAATTCATTACCAATCCATTCGCGATTGCGTGGAAAATAAAACGATCATATTAGAATATATGTTGACACAGCACAGTAATACGCATTAATTAAGACAATGATTACTAAACATACATCTACTCATTTCTGCATACTATTTGGTACTCCTCGTTTGTTCTTTTTTAATTAAAAAGCTAGTGCTTTATTATCATTCAAATACTTGAAGGTTCATTAATTTACTTTATTTTTTATTTTGGTTTTTGATTTAGTATTACTTCTTTATTTAATTATATTTTATTTTATTATATATATCTATAGTTCTTAGTATGTTTAGTCCTGCATAGATGCGTTCAAAGCAGATATTAATCTGTTTTTCACCAAACACTAAAGAGCATGGGTTTTATGCTCACCTTATACAGATCTCTTGTGTTTCTTTATGTTGTTTAGTAGGACCTCTTTATTAATCATTTCCTTTTTCACACATCGATTTCGTATATAATAACAAGATCTTTCAATATTAAAAATTAAAATCTTAAGTTAGAAACCATTGACAACACTTCGTTTTATTTATTATTATAACCAAATTCCCTTCAACATGTGTATATAAAGCTGACCAAACAGGTAAAATTTCCTATATTATCAAAAGAAAAAATACTTGCTTTATTTCGCTTATAACTCGAACAAAAAACTATTTAAGAAATAATAATAATATTTACAACATTAATTACTATCAAATATTGAATTTCGATTCTATCTAAATAACAATTGTAATGTTTAAAGAATTAAATATGCCTTTGGCACTAGTTTTAAAATTTTTACACTGAAAATAAATAATAGAAGCAGAATTCCATTCTAATAATAAAAAAAAGCCTCCAAGCTTATCGAAACGATCGTTGTATGCTTTAATCTAACCCCATAGGCAGACAAATGTAAATGGTTGTGTAAATAAAAAAAAGAAGGATAAGTAAATATTTCTTTCACCAAAAAAAATTATTAGTGGCCTTGAGCGCTAAAAAATTATAATTAAATATCGCATTATTAAATTTTTATTCCTTTTAATTAAAACAAGGCATGTAATGTAGCTCCAGACATGACGATGTAATGGTAAATATAATTTTTTATAAATATTTAACAATTCAAATCATTTAACACAATCAAATGAATGTTTTCCTAGCTTTTGCTAGTGATTACGGATTTTGGGGTCACGCCAGACGTTATATAATTTACGCTTATATTAAAAACTTAATGGTTAAAATGGTTCAGATTCACGATTTTAGGTAAAAGCAATTTTAAATACATATGTACATTCAAAGAAACACTAATTTTGTTATTGTATTACTTTGATAGTAGCAAATAATGATGCTAATTTCAATCTTCTATTTTTTTAGATCACAAAAGGGTGAAACTCATGAATAGTTTTAAGAACACAATGTAACACAATTTTCACCACGCCTAAATAATGTCACTACATTATCTTTCCATGTGTTTGAAAATCTAAACTATCATATAAAATTTTAAAAATTAACAAATTTTCAAAATATGACTAAAAAGCATTCGTACGGACTAGTCTCATGTTCTAAAAATGTTCCTTTCCAATTTCTTAAGTTAACAATAATCAATTATCATACCTTTTATTATTTGTATTATAATATTTGCATCCTCCTCCCCCAAACTTTATGACGGAGATTGAATGAATATGTGGGAGATTAGGATCATAGCCTACGCTGATATTAGAATAATACATTTAATCAATGTTTTGAAAATATCTTCTAAGAAAATTAAGAAAAATTTCAATTGTAGTTTCAAAGATTTAAAATTGTAGCCGATATGCACATATATAGAATATTTCCAACGTTTCTTGTGTTTCTAAGAGTTGCCCAAAACATAACATTAGACAAAGATAGGCAAGTTCTAAGGCAGAACCAGCGCAGACTAGTGAAATAAATTTGTTTCACTTAATTTAATTTATTTTTTTGTTTATTTCTTGTCATTTTATTTATATGTTATGTTTATTACTATTATTTTAATGGGGACTCGGCTCTCACGTCACTGATGACAGTCATAACGTTGATGTTGGAGATAATATCGTCTATTTGGCGACAAATATAATGTCAGCATCCAACGCAAAAGTCTTGCCAAAAGGTGCAGCCTCGGACTGAGAATGCAATTTTTCTGCTAAGGATTAATGGCATTTTGCTCATGTTTTATAATGGTATGCACATAGTGCAGCGATTGAAGAGACAGCGGCTACGGTCATATTGTCCATTCGGATGAAAACATTCCAGCTTTGAAAGTATATGATGTATTACCCGCTGGAGGAGGATGAAAAAGACCTGTACTAATTTGGAAGGATCAGATGGATAACGACCTGGTTTCATTTCGAGTCTCTAAATTGGCACAATCAGTGAAGAGAAGGCACTAATAGCTGTTGATTTGGCTTAAATCGTGTAGAAATTATGAGAGTGATTGAAACCCTCTTTAGAAAAAACTATTGAACTTTATTCCTTCAACTTGCCAACTGTATTTTTTTTTATAGATATCTCACAAAATTATTGATCTGACAATAAAATTTTTGAAAATCCATAAGAAGTAAATAGATATGGCCTGAACGATGACTGTATGCCCACAATTCCGTAATGGCCTAGTTTCTGAATAATTCAAACTGCAAGCTAGAGCATATATATCAATGGAGTGGAGAAGGATTCCGGGAGAAGGGAAAGGTAGTTTCAAGGTCGCAGGATTATAACAATCGCGGATATATAATCAGTCTCAGTATTAATGCTTGTTGTAAGTTTAAGTAGCGAAAAAACGGTACTTGATGTGTAATTGATAATCTTTTACAAAAAGTGAGTTTTTTTATTCTGCTTTTAAAAATAAATTCCTTAGATTAATTTATTTATTTTCAGATCAAATGTATCACTTTAAATGAAGGCTTTAGAAATATAAGTACTTTCGCGAATTGGTCATCAATTGCCAGTGTGGGCAAAAGTTCATTCAAAGGTACCAATCACCTTTTCGACGCTCTTATTGGGAAGAGCAAGTTAGGCTGCTATAGCTTATTTCTTAAATCACAGGTATTAAGGATTAGAAATTTGTTAAGTAATTAAAATAATTAAATGTAATTTATTTGGATATGCACACATACATATAAATATATGTACATATGTTCAAGACGTGCTTAGTTTATATATGTTTAGAGAAGTAAAATATAATAAATAGAATTTTCAGTTCACAAATTAAAAAAATAAGCACTTGATATTCGTATTGAACCTTGCCTAACGCCGCTACTTCGTCTGAATCTGTTGTAAAATAATCTGGTAATGTAAGAAAAACTTGAAACCGTTACGGATGTAAAATAATGTTAAGCTCAAAATTATGTGCACTGAACAAACCTACTCACAATTTCCGTTGTTATCCAAAAAATATCCTGTTCGTGCCAAAAGCTACATAATAAATTTTTAACGTATCGATTCTGGTCCTTTGGTCTAATTGTTTGTTTCTACAAGGAGATGTATACATTCGGGTAAAATTTCACCCAAATCATGCCAAAAATACATGTAGATTTGTTTTTCAAAAAGTTTTGTATCTGATCCGATTTGTGGAAATACAGCCATTTAAAGTAAATAAAACTGATCCAATTTTCCCGAATATATCGGTTCCAGGTCAATTTACCTGATGCATTGTATTTCATATAAAACAAAAAGTATATATGGTTTTTTCGAAAAGCTCAGGCCCTGGTACACTTTTTACAAACCTTCCCGGAAGTCATAGGAACAAATTTACATAATAACAAAGTTTTTCTGCATATTGTTTATTTTATTTAATTTCTTATATTTTAATATTTCGCATTTTTTATTTCATTTTAATTTATGTTAATTTCTTTATGTTTTTAAGTACCAGTTAGCTCTGTGTTTAATAAATAAAATTGTTTCAGACAGTTGTAGTTGTTTTAAAACCAATTTTTGTTAGAAATTATAACTCTAATTTCCTTTATATTTTCCTTACAAAAAATGTTATTTTACCAGCACGTGTATATATTAATTTTACCGTATGTTATTGCTTTTTAGAAAATATATACCCTACATATTTTCAAGGGTTATAATTATAATTTTATAAATAATTATATCTTAGAAATTCAGTTAAATTTTTTGAATTAAAAACTAAGTCCTCCGATTTACTAGGACCCATCTTATTTATTGTAAATGGGGGCCGTTGCAAAGTCAAATATCAAACTGGTAAATAATGTGCTCAGCGTGTATACATGCAAAAAGTTTTATTATTTAAATATATTAACATAGCGAATGAAGGTCTAGACATATATTATGCTTTCACGTGATGGGTTAAATATTTAAAAACTTTCAGATAGTCCTAACCATCACTGTCTAGTATGACAACAATTTATATCGAATAAAATTAAATTAGAAGCCCTGTTTTAAAACACATTTTGTTTTAAATATAATTCGGTTTCAGAAAATTTTTAACATAAAATTTAGTCTTTAGATATTTTTCGAGGTTTCAGACAAGGTGATTCCTTATTGTGGAACTTTTTTAACTTATTGTTGAAGAAAAAAATTATAGCTGCAGAGCTAAATAGAGGAGGAACAATCTTTATAAGAGTATACAGTTGCTGGCTTACGCCGCTGATATCAACATTATTGGCCTCAACAACCACGACGTCAGTTCTGCTTTCTTCCGACTAGATGAACAAGGTTATATATCTGGTATTGAACAAGGGCGAGACGAAATACCTCCTGTAATCACACAAATATTCACCGCTTTCGCGACTCGGCTTCCACGCCATTGCTGACAGTCATAACTTTGAAGTTGTAGATAATTTCGTCTATCTAGGAACCAGGAACCAGCATCAACACCAATAATAATGTGAGCCTTGAAATCCAGCGCAGAATCATTCTTTCCGACTCTTTGGACCGAGTAGGCAATTGTAAAGTAAAGTCCCCTCCATACGAATGAAAACCGAACTCCACAAGTCCCTCATCGTTTCTGTTCTGCTATATGGTGCGGAAGCATGGACGATGAAAACATCTGATGAGTCGGCGACAGTACTTTTCGAGAGAAAGGTTTTGCGCAATTGGCAACGTTGAATATCGCAGACGATGGAACGATGAGCTGTACGTGTTATACGGCGATATTGACATAATTCAATGAACTAAGATGCAGCGGCTACGCTGGCTAGGTCCTGTGGTGCGGATGGATACGAATACTCTAGCCTTAAAAGTTTCCGATGCAGATATCACCGGTGGAAGCAGAGAAAGAGGAAGGCCTCCACTCCGTTGGGAACACAAGGTAGAGAGGGACTTGGTTCTACTTGGTATTTCCAATTGGCGCCATACAGCAAAAAGAAGAAACGAATGTAGTTGACTCAGCTATAATCGCGTAAGTGGTGCCAAGTGCCAGTAAAGTAAGCAAGTAAACGTCCATTTCGTCCAAATTAAAAAAAAGAATTATTTGCTTATAGCATTTCATAATGTTACTTAGGACTTTAGAGCTGTTTTAATCACCTGAATAGTTTAAGCGTGCTGGTGGCACAATTTAATGCGAAGAAGTTAAATAGATGGTACATTGGACTACCCTAGTGCACAGGTATATATGTATGTTGAATATTAACAAATTTACTTAATTTGAAAGCTTGTAAATATCGTAAATATAAACAAATTCAATAAATTAATACAAGCATACACTTTAACATATAAGAAAAAAAATATAGATTGATATAAAGGCAGTTAGTTTAACAATCAGTCTATCAGACAGACAATTAAGTACTCACAAGTGAAACTTCTCATTCCACACAGGATTTAACTCCTGCGGCATTGTACGTGTACGCTTTTTCACCTTGCTAACTTGCACCGTCACATAGGGATCACTGGTACCGCTTTTATCCTTCGCTATCAGGCCTTGAGCACAAATCACTGTAGAATTACATATACGTATTTTTTAATTTTAAATTTTCTTTCACTGCTGTCACAAATTATATGTAACTTGTGGATACACATTTTCGTTTCATTATCAAATATCGAAAATCATAATTTCGTTTGTACATATAAAATACTGGCATAAAATAGTTTAATATAATGGAGAAAGTATGAATATACACATATATGTGTATATTTGTACATATATATATATATATCTATATATATATATATGTATGTAGTATGCGACTTTGTATGTTTTGGTAGGTCTTGTGAGCGGTTAAGTGGGGAGCGTGCATGTATTATAGATACGTGTTGAAGCTGCACATTTATATTATACGTTACATGTGCTATGTGCTTTGTTTCGGCTGGGACCTCATGTAAGATATATATATATATTTATATGTATGTATGTATGTATGTATGTATGCATGTATGTATGTTTAAGCATTTGTATATTTATTTATATTTTTATACACATCGTGTAGGTATATATAACATACTCGTATAAACAAGTACATACTTGTATATACACGCTAACAATTATGAAAATTTAGATTTCTTCAGGGTGATAAGGTATCTAATGCATAAAACTAAACAAAAACATATTAACCGGGAAGGGGATGCACGAATATTTGTGTCAGAGACAGAACTGTGCGTTCAGAGTGCAAATACAAGACTTTGATGTCCCTATAATTTCACGTCAACATATAGTAAAAAGTAAACAAAAACTATTTAAAAAGATTGTAGGCATTTTGCAAAAGCTTATTTATATAAATAAAGAAAAAAAACAGGGAAAAAAGTGATATATTAAAAATAATTAAGACGTTTTAGTTACAAAACCACTTTCTACTTTCCACATACATACATATGCATATACTTATTTCTGCCGAAATAACTTGTTATTTTTATTAACATGCACCCCTGTTTTTTTGATGAAACTCTGTGCACGTGTGTAATACTTGTCGAACGAAAGTGGACAGAAGCAGTTGAGTTTTTAAACATGTCAGACGTATCTAATTAAAACTTTGTTTAAAGGTATTGAATAAAACCTTTAGGGCTATATTGATTGTCTCTAACTAAAAGTGTGCTTTATCTTAATCATAGCCGAGTTAAAAAGGGCTCTAAAGTTAGAGTGAGGAAATAGGGTGAATTCCAAAATGTTAGTTGCAAAGCAACCATTCATTGTCACGCATTCCTAAATGCAACAGAGCAAAATCTGACGATTTGTCATGTACCAAAATGTATCGGTAAAGTTATCGATGCGCAAACAAAAGCAAACTAAGGCTTGTTTTATCATAACGGCCAACGTCGTAGAACAAGTTTTTTGTGATAATTTTTTTTTTTTAAACATTATATGACTTATTTTATCGATCTGTTTCATATTTTAGCCATTTCACCGAAAAGCAACTTATTTGCATTAAAAGCGCTCAAAAATATTAGAGCTTGTAAAGTATTGTAGCAAGAAAAATTTATTATTTATTGTTTTGCCGTCTTGAAACTCACCCATACGATTACTAAGCTGTTGATAACTTTTTGAAATTTAGTTATTTGAAAAAAGTAGAAAAACGAATGAAAAGGAATTGTTTACCGAGAATGTAAAAAAGATAATTCAAATCGGGTTTATGCAATTAATTTAAAGTTATTGTGTGTGTTTGGCACTTTGTAACCGCTGAAACGATTTCTGGCCTAACTCTAATTTATTGTGTGCGTCTTCTTTTACGCCGGTTCCGAACGGCCGATGGATTTTAATGAGGGATTTGTTTTCATGTCAGAAATACGCTCGGAGGGCTTGATATTCCCTACCGAGGGGCAACCACAATTAGAAAAATTAATTTTCTATAATTTTGAATGCTGTTCGAACTAGAAGTCGAGCACTGACCTTTTGAATACTAGTAGGCGAAATTAACCACACGGCTGTAGTTATTATTTATTTCAACAAAAATAAAGAATTAACGGACAGCAACTCTGAATAAAAGCCAGTGGTAATAGGCTTTTAAGAATAATATTGTAGAAGATTGATAAAGAAGTCTCTTGCTGGTACATGGCGCTAAACGTACTATAATGCACAAAGATAGAGTGGACTTTATCTTTTTAGCGTTACTCTCAATAAGGTGTTTTCTAACTCAGGACAACGATTGCTCTCCTTAGACTATGGGAAACCTTAAGAGTTCTTTATATCGCCTTGCGTTGCGGCCAAGGCGCCAATCGTGTGGGTCTTATCTGTAACTACACATAATCGCACAAAAATAGTCCACCGGTGTTAAATCGAACGATTTTGCAGGCCACCCCCAGGTAGATAACGCCATCTGCCAAATTTTTTTTGAAAATCAGGATCGGTGGCCAATTTGTTTTCAATAATTGACCGAGTTGAATTTTCTAAGACAGCGTTTATGCATGGATCATCCCACGTCCAATTTCCTCAGCATACTTTTAGGAATTAGGGGTTTGGTTTCCTGTCATTTGGGTTGAGCAGCGAAGCAATAAACTTAAAGTGTCTATTAGATGCTAAACTCAGGGTGATTTGATGATATCCTATAGCTTATATTATTACATGATTAGATGTCTGCCAGTACCATGAACTGCTGAAAAACGCCAGTTCCCGAGTAGTGTAAGTTTCACTTACAAAACCACTGAACAAATAGAATGGTCACTCCCGCACCATATCCAGTTTATCACTCGGAGCTCACACCTGAGTTCCACCCAGTAAATACATAATGTGTAAAGAGGAATGGTCACCCCGCACCACCTCTAATTTTTTCCTATGGAGCTCACTCCAGAACTCTATTTAGAGCCAATCGGCTCTATGCAGAAATACCAAATTATTACTTATCATTCCCTTCCCTACGTCTAAACATCCTCTCCATCCTACTCCCCAAGCTTAGACAGACAGCAAACTAAGATCCTTCCTCAATATTCCATGAAGTGGAAAGGCACAACTTTAGTTGTTGCGCGCAATATCGGATGGATTCATTGGGGTCTTCTTCGATACTCGGTTTTACAGCAGCAATACGGTCTTAAGGGGCACTATACGCCTTCTGTGGAGATTCACATTATTCACTAGATTAAACATGATGCGAAACCAACCCATGGTTGCTCGAATTACCGATCCTGTTCGGCGATTACGTCGACCGAATATTGGATGCAGTGCGCAATACGTCGGACGAAGCGAAGCATCGGTCCTGATTATAAATTTGCGTGATATGGAAACGATGGTGCTGAGTAAATCTGCTCAATTATGAAATTGCAAAAGAAACTCTCCGAAGAAAGGAGTTTGTTCTTAATAAGGATCTGTGGTTTAGTTTAAGCTTAACTAAACTAAGCAATGACATACTGCACATGGAATTTTAGAAAATAAAGGTTATCCGTGGCATGCTAGATACAACAACTCAGCGGGGGAGGTACGAGATGTCCGTCATCAGGGAACTGTTTTTAAATAACAACTATTATTTTTACAGAATTTCAGCATAGGAATCTATCTCTTCACTGCAGGGTCTGGGTCGTGTGGATGAATACAAAATAAATAAAAAGAAAAAAAAACGCTGGGCACAGGTATACAGTCCACTTCACTCAATTAGAGACAATAGTTTTTATGAAATTCTTATTAAATTAAATAAAAACTTAGCAACAAAAAACTACCGCATACCTCAAATATTACATACACTTCTAAGAATATTTTATAGCCTCGATAGCATCTACATGCTCAAAAAAATTCGTCAAATTTTATTTAACAATAACCTACTGAAATTACATAAAGTCGTAAAGCAAAAATGTTTGACGGATCGAAAAAAATGTCAAAAATTTATATAGTTCTCAAAATTGTCAAAAAATAAAAAAAATTAAATCAGTCCAAATATTGTCGTTATAAAAACCAAGATTAAGCCTATGGAAAGTAAGACTCCAGACGAGAATAAACTCATAATGGTTGTTCCGAATGGGTGCGAATTCTAAAATGAAAGTTATAGATTCAGAAAACGACTAGGAGCAACTACCCAGCTCCTGTACATGCAGTATACTGCTATATTCTGGATGTGCATGTAACATCTTTTACATGGCCAACCATTTGCACCACGAGTTATTTAGTTATTCTAATTAATCAAACGGACTAATCTGAAACCCAAACACAGTTTTCTCGGATAGTTTTAAAATAAAGGTTATAAAAAGAGAAAAGTACAAAATATTGACATTTCATAAATAAACGTAAATTCATTTTTCGAAGTGAATCAATAAATTGATAATTGATATATTTGGCAGAAGCAGTATAGTTTTATGTAAACTGGATAAAATTTATGTTACTTTTATGTTCCCGTATCTAATAAACCAGGCACGTGGTGCGAGATTAACTAATAATAATCGTTAAATGACCGATAGCTGGTATATATAAGCTAGTATATTTATATATCACTGAATGTGGTATGGCCTCATATATGGCCACCAAATCTGCTTGATAAATACTACATTGACCCGGCAAGCGAAAGGATTTACAGATACCAAGTTCCTTTGAATAAACTTCGCCATCGATCGTGTTGTCTAGTTTTGACCCATCCGTATAAAAATGTATCGCGTCGGCGCTTACTGGTATTATCCTGTCTCAAAGGTTTATATCCTGGATAGCTACCGTGAAGTCTGTCCTGAAGTTAGTGAATGATATGCAGTAGATTAATTCTTACAGCGGCGGAAGGAGCATTGTGCGACCCCATTATGTCAACGGGGAGAAGATCTAAAAAACAATTTATTGCCATAGTGGGTGTGGTACGAAATGCTCCGCAGATGCTGCAAGGGCAGCAGACCTTTGTACTCTATTTAACTTAGAACTAGATGTTTTTTTCTCAAGTCCTGGCCTCGACCTGGCAATTAGAATTTAGAATTTTCTCTTATTTTTGATGTTGGTCGAACCAGCACCCGAACCCTAGCCTTCAGAATGGCAGTATGTATTGCTAACCCTCGGCTATTCTACTATATACATACCGAAATGTTCTTTCATAATATCACTGCAG